CCCCAGAGGGGGGCAGTTCCGACAAAACACGGGGCGAAGCAGTCCCCCCTGCCTCCCCGGCTGGATCAACACGCTGACCACCCTGCTTCAACATTCACCCCGTCCCTCCCCCTGCCGCTCAGGCACAGTCGCAGCAGCGTGTACCATCTAAGAGACGTACCGCCGCCCCTTCTGAACCTGCCACCTATTACCCCCGCTCCAGAAGGACAAGGGGGGGAGGCACCAGATGCACCAGTGAACACCCACACCTGCAAATACCCCTCCTAACCCCCTCCCATCCCTATAGGGAACGGTATCGGCTGTTCCTTCACTGTTGCCGGGTGCAGATCCTGCAACACCGTTCCTAACGGCACTGTGGAGGCGGGTGTCCCTACACCACACGTGGGGTGGGGGAGGCAGCAGCGATTCACGGGGGCAGCTTACACCAGGTGAGGGGCAATTAAGGACGGCAGTAAACACTCAGAACCATGTTTCCAACATTTCTCCGTTACTTACTAACGCTGTTTCTCTTTTTCGCTCGCACTCTGTGTGTGTGTGTCTCTCTGTGTCTCCGCCTCCGCCTGTCAGGTCAGTGATTTTGTACAGAAAAAGGAGATTGAGCCCGCGGTGATCCAGTTGTTGTGGGAGTGTCTTACGGAGAAGGTGCCGTGCTCACCGGACGAGAGGAGGGCAGCAGTCATCCTGCTGGGCATGGCTGCTCGGTAAGTGTGTCTAACCCTGTGCTGTCCCTGTCCCTGGGAGGGTTTCATGGGAGGAGCGGTGTAGAGAGAGCTTTACTCTGTATCTAACCCCCTGTCCCTGGGAGTGTTTGATTTGGGGGGGTGGAAATGGTGTCGAGGGAGCTTTACTCTGTATCTAATCCCCTGTCCCTGGGAGTGTTTGATGGGGGGGATGGTGTAGAGGGAGCTTTACTCTGTATCTAATCCCCTGTCCCTGGGAGTGTTTGATGGTGGGGTGGGGGGCTGGGGAACGGTGTAGAGGGAGTTTTACTGTGCACCTGTCTTTCTCAGCGGTGAGCCGGAGATTGTGGGCAGTAACCTGGAGACTCTGTACACGGTCGGCCTGGGACCATGCGTTCGACAGCAGCAAGACTTCCAGCTGGCCCGAGACATCTGCCTCACCATTGGCAAGATTTCTCACAGCCAGAAGGTGAGGGGGTGTATGGGCTGGAGGGATGTTGCAGAGATAGGGAGGGAGTGTATGGGCTGGA